CGGCCCGGCCCGACCCGGGCCCCCGCGCTCCCTCCGGGACGAATGGCGGGATTAAGGCTGCAGTAATCCGGGCCGGATTAACTCCCTGGAAACCGGCTGCAATCTGAGCAGCTGCAAATGTCCCCCAACCCGGGAGATGGGGCGGAGGCGGGGGACGACATCCGCCGCCCAGATGTTGCGCCGCGATTAGGGAAGGGAAAAAACAAATCTATCATCCGCTGCTTTTGGGAAGGGCTGGGCTGGCTGGGATCCGGCAGCCCCTCCTCTTCCTCCTCCCTCCTCCTCTTCCTCTCCCTCGCAGCCTCGCTCTCCTCTCCCGGCCAGCCGCCTTCCGCGGAGGGGGCGAGACGAGCGCAGAGCCCGCAGCCCCCCCGGCGACAAGCCAAGGGCGACATTCCCGGCCTCGTGAAAATCAGCGTCTCCCTCAAAATCCAGCCCAACGACGGGGCGGTGTATTTCAAAGTGGACGGGCAGCGCTTCGGCCAGAACCGCACCATCAAGCTGCTGACCGGGGCCAAGTACAAGATCGAGGTGGTCCTCCAGCCCGGCACCATCCAGGCCACGTAAGTGCAGCCTACCTGCTCGGGGCGGCTCCCCCGGCCCTCCATTCCCCACTGCTTTATTTTTAGAGGTTTAATATTTTTTCCTGGCAGGCTGACAGCACGGGGTTTCTGTGATTTCTCCCTCCCTACCCTTTTCCTCTGGTGGCCCCGCTTCTAGGTCCCTGGCCAGCTGTTCCCAGTGCTTTGCCCGGCTGGCTCAGGAGAGAGGCTGCATTTTGGACTCGCTTCCTTCCCCCTCCTTCCCCACCTTCTCCCGGAGCTCTTTCAAACCCAGCTCCTTTTCTCCCTCCATCCCCGCAGTTTGCCCTGGAGGCAGAGAGAAGAGGCCCCTCTGGCCCCGCATGTCAGGGATGCACCATGCCCAAGCCTCGCTGCAGCACGGCAAAGCAGAGACTGGGACCAGGGAGGATGCAGATGGGGAATCGGCTCTGGGTGGAGAGACAGTCCTGAAGAAGGGATTCGACTAACCTCTCCCCAGCTACTCGAGATCAGATCCCTCCTGCCTTTCCTTTCTACACCTTCCCTGGGTGACTGCAGAGCCCTGACATTTTTCAGGAGCCCCAGTGAGTCAGCAGCACCTGCAGGTCTGCTAAAATCCATGAAGCATCCCCCAGCACAGAGGTGCCAGCCCACATGCTGGCTCCAAGCTTCTAGGGAAGGGGACCTGCAGGGCTGCTGAAAGGCTGGATCCTGTCTCTTTGCAGGACAATGGGCATCGGGGGCGTCAATGTACCACTGGAAGAGAAATCGAGGGATGCACAGGTGGCCTCTTACACAGGGATCTACGACACAGAAGGGGTGCCCCCTACCAAGAGCGGGGAGAGACAGCCCATCCAGGTCAACATGCAGGTACGCAGTTCTCCAAGCCGGGCATGGGAAGACAAGGGAGGGCAACAGGAAGTTGACTCCCGGAGAGGGAGTTGTGGAGGTGAAATATTCCAGGCCAAAGTCTGATCACAGCTGCTGCTCTCCTCTCTGCTTTGCATCAACAAGACCGCTGGTCAGAGCGTAGCTGGAAAACACAAGCCTTGCTTCCCAAGGGGAAGCCAAGAGAGCAGCAAGGGCCAGGAAGCAGCAGGGGGATTTCTAGAGATTCGCATAGCCCTTTGGGGTGCTGCAGGAGAAAGAAACAGGAGCTGAACTTCTCACCTTTTCTGCAGGGCATGTTATAGACTTCAGGCAACTCCCACCAACTCCCACCATTCCCGGCTAGGAATCCAGTCCCAAGCCCTTGGCATACCGGGACCCTCCTTTTGCCTGCCAGCACTGCCAGGTTTTTTGGAGCACAGCATGCCCCAAGCACAAGGGGTGACTATTCTCCCCTTCCACCTGTCATCTGCAGGATGCCTGAGGACCTGCCGGAGGCTGAAAGCATGCGTGAGAACACACCTCCCTCCCCCCCCGCAAAGGCTGTCTTCTCCCTTTCTTTCCTCATATGCTTCCATCACCACATTATCTCTGCATCCACAAACCTAAGTTCTTATTCAAGTGGCTCCTCACCCCAACCTTAAAGAGAAGCTCCAAGGGCCAGAATCGGTATATGCCATGGCCCCAAAGTGAGATGACAAAAGCTCAAGCCCGTAAGGCAGCAGAGCTGACAGAAGACGGGAAGAGCAGCAGGCAGATTTCCACAGCAGTCTTTGGGTGGTGTGCTCAGGGTGCAAAGGGAGATTTGTTTTGTTCTGGCTTTGGTTTGGTTGTTGGGGTTTTTTTCCCCTCTCCTGAT